TGAAAATGTTATTTTTGAGCTCTAAAATCCTATTTTTGATACCAATTGATTATGATCATTATAAAAATGATTTTTCACATTAAAAGTAATATTTTTAACAAATAAAATGTTATGTGATGCATGACGGTAAGTTAGGGTGTTAACACCCGAAGCTAGGCCGCTAATTGTTATTGAATATTATGTTGATTGATATGATGATTATGGTAATGATTATTGATTCATAATTATGATGATTAAATCTTAATAAATATTCTGATTAAAAATGATAATTGTGAATGATTAAATCATAATGAATATATTGATGATTGTGAAAATAATATATTATTAAGGGTATCTAGAAGACCTCTAAGATATACCCATATTAATGTTGATTTGAAAGGTATCTAGAAGACCTCTAAGATATACCCATATTAATGTTGATTTGAAAGTTATCTAGAAGACCTCTAAGATATACCTATTTAAGTTAGGCCTTGCGGGCATGAACCCCGGTGGCTAGGGTTAAAACGTACGTACGGGATCCAAGAACCAAACTTGAGTACCTACTCGTTTGGGGGTACCACCCACCCAACAGTGAACACTACGCTGTCGGTTTCTGGTAAGCCTTAAGTGAAGGTAAGTTTAAGATTTTCAAAACCCTTTTATCTTAAACTAGGCCTAGCTTAAGGATTATTTAGGAGTACTCTATACTGGAATATAGTTTAATTATTTAAACTAGAATTCATTTAAGGGTTGATAAACATTAAAGTGATTGGCCTTAAGACTAAGAATAGTTTAAGGATATTGTCGAATGTTGAATATTGAATATGAATGAATATTGAATATTAATTATTGAATTGAATATTGTGAATACTATGAATAACCAATGAACGTCGAATGTGAATATAAATGTTGAATAATGAATGATGTATACTGACTAATGATTATTGAATATATGAACTGAACATTATGTGCATGATATCAAATGATTTGATTATGAATTTAGATTCAGTTTATATGGATGTTCGACGCATCAAATATGCTTACTCAGCTTCAACGCTGAGCGTGTAGTATGTTTTATTTGCTACACGCAGGTTAATAGAAAGAATGAAGTGACGTGATCCTGGAGGCAGACGGAGGCGAGATTGTTGGAATGGATGTGATGGTTTTGAATTAAAGAACATAAATAAATTATGTTTGTGATTATGATTTGTTAAGCTTCCGCAATATTGAAAACTTCGTACTGTTTATATTATGAGTAATATTATTATGATAAATAAAAGTGTTTGAAATGTTTTAAATTTTGACGATTACCAAGTTAATACTTTAGTCTAAAAGGGGCTGCAGACCTGGACGGATTAGGGTGTTACATGTTGACTTTAAAAGGCTTCTGCATTATTTTAAATTAATCCGATGGATTTTATAAAGTATTGATTGAATGTTTGTTTTAAATTGTTTTGAAAATGTTGTATGTTTGGATACCAATCCAGTGGCACACCGGTCCGCTGACCCACGGGTTCGGGTTACGCGGGTTGGGGTGTTACATTTTGGTATCGGAGCATGTGGTTTTAAAATCGGTCTTTGGACCCTTTCAAAATAAAATACAATGAATAATTCAGCCACATCTGCATCTCACGCAACTCCTCTACCCCGGGAAGGTAATAAGTATTTATAGCTTTACCTGTTATATGTTAGAATATGACTTAGGAATTTCCTTATTATTTTAGAATGAGTCAAGAATCGACCCATGGTCAGTACGTTCCTGAGCCGGAGCACGTGAGCGTGCATACGGTGAACACCGAGGGTTCGAGTTTCACGCCTCCAGGTGACGGAGGGCAGCAGAATCATCCTCAGCCAGCGGGACAGCCGCCAGTTGTACCACCTCCAGTCGTACCACCTCTAGTGATGTCACCGCCGGCGATGCCGCAGGTGGCCTACGAGCAGATGTTCCCTGTAACACCCTAATCCGTCCAGGTCTGCAGCCCCTTTCGGACTAAAGTATTAACTTGGTAATCGTAAAAATTTAAAACATTTCAAACATTTTTATTTATAAATAATATTCCATACATAATTGTAGAAAATACGGAGTGTTTAATAATAATAATGCGGAAGCGACTTTCAAACATGTCTCATAACAACATAATTATTTATTTTGTTCAATGATCCACCACGACTGTCTCGCCCCTTCTGCTGCCAAGAACATGCCATTCACTCATTCTGTCTACCTGTGTGTAGCAAATAAAACATACTACACGCTCAGCGATGAAGCTGAGTAAGCATATCTAAAGCGTCGAACATCCAAATAAATTGAATCTCAATTCATAATCAACCATTTGATATCATGCACACAATATATGATTCAAACATTCATGATATTCTCAATATTTTATTCCAAGTCATTCGATATTCAATATCTCAACCATGCTCTTAAATTATTCTTAATCTAAGGCCAAATCATTTTATA